TTATAACTTCAAATGAAGTGAAAGGTTGAATATTTTAAGGCTTTAAAAAATGTTTTAATTTACCTTGCTATGCTTGAGAATCAAATGAAAGAATTGGTAAACTGTTGTGCATCCAAAAACAAAATGTCATATGTACAATTTGCAAAGTAATAGTTCATGTTTTTCATTCTTGTTCCAATCAAGGTTTAAAAATGTTTCCAAATTACGAAATTAACCGTTTTTGTAGGTATTTACCGTTTTTTGCAACTCTAAAAGATGTAACTTTGGATTCGCTTCAGTTTTAGAACACAAAATGTGAGAAAGTGTTTTTTATTGGTTTACTTTTTAAAGCATGGGATTTGTTTTAAATTAAACCGTTTTTTATTAAAACTGAAGTTTCACAAATTTGTAAAATTACCATGTTAGTTTTCAGTTTCATTCTTAATCTTCAAACAGTTTCAGTTTGTGTTATATCGCGACTTAGTCAACTTATTTTGCGTAGTTTCAAGAGCAAAATATATCCATTTGGGATTATGTGTTTTAGTTTGGTTGAATCGTAAAAACTTTTTAATTAACTGAAATTTTTTATGACATTAGTTTTCGGCTCAATAGGTATCGACCCAAAGTTTGTCTTATTTGTTGCCGCTCGGTTAATGTGTTTCGTTTTGTAAGGGCAGTTTGTGAACTTCGTCTGATACAAAATGTAGTTATTGTAGCTTTAATTGTTCAACTTTCGTCAAGCTATTTTTATTTCAATTTATTTTTTGAAGTAATTTTTTTCGACCTAATTTTTTTACTTCTGTATTTTTTATTCACTATGTTGTAGCGCAATGTGTTTTTTGCCTCGCAAGTATTGCGAAGCTCTGCTTCGGCTCTGTGTTTGAAATTCAATTGTTACTTCTTCGTTTCTCTTCTCGAAGATTTTTTGTTAAAGAGAAAATCGAGACAAATGTATCAAAATTTGTGGTGGATCAATTTTCATTTTTTTTTCAATGTTTTTCTTCATCGTTTATATGTGATATATCTTCTACGGCTTTCATCTGTCATCTCTTTTTCTGTCGGACACTTTTTCATGTATGAATAATGTGTTGTTTAGCTATAGTGCCTTTTTTTGTTTATCTTTAAAGTAATGAACGTAGTGAAGACTCTTAAATAGGTCTGTTGATCTTTGATGTGCAACTTGTGATAGTCATCCATTTTGTATCGCAAGTGATGAGAAGAGCTGCATAACCTCTGTCGTTTGAAACTTTCTTTCGTCACTCATAAACTCCTATATATTTTTGGCCTTCTTGTACTGAAACATAGGAGCATTTTGTGCTTCTCGTTCAGCAATCTCCTTGGTGGTTTTTATTTTGTAGCTTTTTTGTTGCAATTGTTTGTTGCTGAAATAAATCTTTAAAAATAGGTGCAATTGAAACAAGAATTGCTGGTCTTAAAGTGAATAGTGCCAAAGTTCTGATTGCCTTTATGTTTTGAATTAAAAAAAATAAAGTAAAATATAGTTATTCTACCGTCTTAAATTGGGTTATAACTTCAAATGAAGTGAAAGGTTGAATATTTTAAGGCTTTAAAAATGTTTTAATTTACCTTGCTATGCTTGAGAATCAAATGAAAGAATTGGTAAACTGTTGTGCATCCAAAAACAAAATGTCATATGTACAATTTGCAAAGTAATAGTTCATGTTTTTCATTCTTGTTCCAATCAATTGCTGCGAAATGGAGCATTTTTGAAAACTTACAAGTGAAAGAAAATCGCGGAGTTGAAATTATTGCGCTTGCGATTAGCAAGCGTTATCAGAACGGAATATAGATTTTTTCTGGGTAACACCGATATTTACAAAATCGCCGAATCATTTGCGCAGTTATCAAACGTGCTAAATTTCTTGAAAGTTCAAATTTAACTACTGGCTACGAAGGCTAAGGTTCTAGCTCGAAACCGGTCAGTACATGTTTTTTTTAAACCCAAATAATTGAGTATCAAAAAATCATCGGCCTGTAGGTTACCTGCTCATGTTTTGTCGCTTAATTTCAACATTCTTTACCTTTCATGTGCTGTGACCTGTGAGCTAAATTTTTGTAATCTAAAGTATTTTTGATTCTCTTATGTAATTTGCTAAATTACAAACTGACTTTTTTCGGCTAACCAGTCTTGGCGTATGTTTTATCGGCTTATGGGCCTATATGTGAGTCTTATGAAGCAGAAAATACATTTTCATTGTTGAACGCGTTTCCAAATGAGGGTCGTATTCCAAATTTGCTCAAACGTTTCTCATCTTCTTTCTAATGTTTTTGGCGCAACGGGCAATTAACAAATTACATCTGCTAGATTAGTTTTTGTGATTTATTTTTACGCCGGCGGTTGTGTTGTCTCCTCAAATTGAACATCGTTTGAGACAAAAGTTGGAAATTTTGTAGATGTAATTTGTTTGATTTGAACAAAAAAAATTCCCTATGGTTTGTATCGCAAGTGATGCGATAAGCAGGGGTATTGCAATTGGATTCTAGACGTTTTTCCCGTAAACAACTTTGTTCACAGGATCTTCACTTCTTGAGATTCTTGTAAATTCAAATAAAATAACTATCACGTAGCTAGTAATTAGTTCAAGCCCGTTTCAGATTGTAATTATCTTTTCAAAAAAAATTCAACTTTTTTCCGGGTTTTTGATTTTTGTCCTAGATTCTGTTGGTTCAATTTCCGTTTGTTTTTAACGCCATTTTTATATCTGGTAGCGTTTTCATTTAAAATTTTTTAAAGCATGGGGTTTTTTTCCAATTTAAATATAATTTTTTTTTACTATAACTGAAACTTCACAAATTTGTAAGTTTACCAAGTCTGATTTTCATTTTTTTTCAGTTTTTTATTATTCAAACAGTTTCAGTATATGTTATATCGGCTTAGTCAACCTTTTTTTGCGTAATTTTGAGGGCAAAACATATACCTTAGGGATTATGTGTTTCAGTGTATATGGGTAATAAAAACTTGTATGAAACGATTTTTTTTATGACAACAGTTTTTTTTTCGGCGCAACAGGTTTCTACCCCCAGTTTGGCGCCCTTGTTGCCGCTCGGTAAATGATTTCAATTTTTTAAGGGCTGTTTGTGAACTCCATCTGATACAAATTTGAAGTTTTTGTTGGAGCAATTTTTCACTTTTTGTCAAGTTATTTTTTGAAGTAATTTTTTTCTAACCTAATTTTTTTTTCGCGTTTTTTTTTTAATTTCTGTTTTTTTATTCACTATTTTGTAGCGCTTTGTGTTTTTTGCCTCGCAAGTGTTGCTAAGCTCCGCTTCGACTCTGTGTTTGAAATTCAATTGTTACTTCTTTGTTTCTTTTCTCGAAGAGTTTTTTTAAATTTCTGTATTTTTATTCACTATTTTGTAGCGCTTTGTGTTTTTTTGCCTCACAAGTGTTGCTAAGCTCTGCTTCGCCTCTGTGTATAGCTTATTTCAGTTCAAATGAATATGGATAATTAAAGTTTTCCTTTAATCTGCTTGGTTTTTTTTCACGAGAAATTTATCACTGACTGCTGCTTTTGTTTTCTATTTTAAGTACTCAGCTCATGTGGCGTTCCAATAAGTGTGCATATGAAAGTGGTGCTTGATTTTTCTTTGAAAAATCATTTGAAAAAACCCGGAATTCGAAATGACGCTTGGCTGGTTTACGCTTGCGATTAGCTCTACATAACTATTTAACCCAGACTTATTGTTCCGACTTTTGTAAATTGAGGAACTTTGTATTCGGGTGTGTTTTAAATTTTTTGTGGTCCACGCAAAATCAGGTACCACAAATAGTAATTGGAATGGGTCGAGTTATATTTTATATTAAAGCCCAGTTATCTGTTTCATATTAAACCCCTTTCAGACGTAATTCCAACGACATTTAAAAATTCAAAAAAATTTTCCCAGCATCGAGAAAAACCAGTTTGAAATTTTTTATTTTTGCTTTTATTTCAAGTGAATAAGGCGAGCAAGCAAGCTTAATTGCTTAAAAGCTTGCAATAGCCTAATTCAAACCCTCAAAACTTAGTTTTACTTGTGTAACGTTAGTTTATTTTGAGTATTTTAGCGCCTTTTTGGATTCAAAATTAATAGGGTCAGCGTGCATGCCTACAATAGCTTACTTAAGCCGTTTAAATTTAATTTTACTCGAGCAAAGTTAGTTATTGGAGTTTTTAACGCCATTTTGGGAATCAAAATTTTCAAAAATTCAAAAAAAAAATTCTGCAAAAGATTAGAAAACATTTTTTAACAATTTTCTACAAAATTTGTTTTCCAATCGGCCTTCTTGACTATGACTCTCGAAAATGCCTGATTTCTTTTTTTTTCACACAGAAAAATGACACTTATTTGAAAAAAAATAATTGTATTTTTTTGAGACTGGTCGGAAATTACTGTGCTATTTGACCGGCTATCCTTGTTTTGTTTATTTTTTTGAGTGATATATTTGTCTTTGTCACTTCGTATGTTTTGCGTTATAATATTACTATATCAAAACAAAACCCAATGTCAATCCAAATATCTTTGAGGAGCTCGTATTTGCTCGTTTGCAAAATTGAGCTTCGCCTGCTGGACGAAGAAACGACGCGAATTTACTACCGGCTATCCTTTTTTTGGGTTCGTTTTATCTGAAAACTTTTGCTCATAAGGTTTAAAATTGAGCCTAAACGTGATCTCGACACGCATCGTTACGTGCACAGTCGGAAACCAAGTCAGCCAAACTTCAACTACCATTTCGAAACCAAGTTAAACCAAAAGAGTTCGGTTCAGAATTAAAAGAAATCAACAGATGGAGCATAATATTTCGGTAGCTATCGTTCTAGTGAATTGTGAAAAAAAAGGTGATTCGGCTAAGTTCGTCTTTCTTTCATGATAGTATCTGTCAATTTTTATTTAGTTTCCCTGAGTTAATCAGCACGTTTCCTTTTTCTGTTTGGTTTGTTGTTTACTCACTTCTACGGCGCTAATTTAAATTAACCGGACGCAACGAACAACATTTACCTTTTTTTTGTAATTTCAGAGTTAGAATGCAACATGAGGCTTGATAGAATTATGATGTCGGGTATCCAGATTTTATTACTTCTTTCCCTGTACTGCCGCAATGTAGTACAATCCTCTTCCCTCCTAGAAGTGAAGTTGAAAATGTTCACAGACTCCAATTTGAAACTCTATCCTTCAAATGGCGATGATTCAGTTGTCTGGACTACATCTAATCGTCAGACTTCCCTAATTGAGGAAACGCGCTCTCACCTTGAGCAGCTGTTCCAAGTGATCGAGAACAATTTGCTAGATTCCAAAGCTGGGATTTCGAAACTATTCGGAAATGAAAATAAAAACGACGCTGAGTACAGCGAGCAAGATTGCTGTCAAAGTTCCATTTTCGACGGTAATCTGTCTCAAACTGAAATGACCAACAAAAAAGTAGCTTGCCAAAGAACATTCTCGGTGGATGAAAACTCAGACCGTCCAATGTGTAATTCTAACATTCAGATGTCAAAAGAGTTCGTTCATTCCTGGAAGAATAAGGATATATGGCAGGAAAAGGTGGACCAACAGTGGTACATTTCGCTTCACGATAATTGCGTGAGGGCTTTTATTTACCCAGCTAAACGCGACAGTTCTATCTGCCCAGATCCCGCAGGTTTGCACAATACTAAGAAGGAAGCTATTGCAAGTGTTATGATTCCTCATAAACGTCACTGGGCTTTTGTGTTTGACACTGAAACCTTCAGCTTGAATAATACAGCCACACTTTTCATGCCGATGGCTGCGAAATGGGCCTTTTCTGCAGCACAGTTTTCTGGACCTCTGGATACGTTCACGATTTCCGGCTGGCCCGAAAATAAAAGCGAAGCGGAGAAAACAGTTCATTGTGAGAGCCGAGAGCGCATGCTACAGTTTTTCAGCACTCATAGTTTGCCGGGTCACGTAAAGAAATTGTTCAGCGAAAATGGAACTCAAAAGTTTTCGTCAATGAGTGAGCAAATGGAACGTGCCATGAATTCATTTGACAATTTGGGAAACGAAACTGAAAAGGTTTTGATCGTTTTTAGTCCGATGAAACCAGTGAACTTCAAAACACAGTATGAAAGAATTCTGAAAATGAAGCCGCGTTTCAAAAATGTGAGTCTGGTTGTTTTCAGAATGGGCAACATAATTTTGCAGTCCAGCACGATTGTCGATTACTTTTGGACTACTTCAAATCAAACTAGCTGGAAAGATTTGGACCCTCTGCTGCGAAGCAAAAGCATTCAGTTCGTTACTCCTATTAGTGGAGCAGAAACGCTGAGTATTTCCCAACTTTTTCCAAGAAGCTCCGCCTATTTTTTGAACAAGAAACAGACAAAGATTACCTATTCGTACCCAAAAATGGACAAAACGTCTCTTAAAATGTCCATTTCGGCCAGTGTAAAGAATCCAAAAACTGGAATGCTCGATGGAGTCATTGGCGTTGATTTGAAACTGGAATCAATTTTGAACGATCTGAAATATCATATTGACGAAAATAAGACGATTTTCATCGTTGATCGGAAAGGGTCTGTGATCTTCCACCGAATGTCCATGTATAAACGAGAGGAAGGATTCGTCCCCATCACAATTGTGGAAAAGCCATTGTTTTATTTCTTCGCAGACGTTGTGAAGTCAGATCCTGGCAGGTTTTTCGAAAATATTCTGATAAACTCCAAGGCAAAAGAGTTGGAAATTATATACGAGAAAAAAATTTACCAGTATTCGTGCAGTCAATTAGCTAGAAGTCCATTTGTTGCATGTACAGTTTTGATTGGAAGTAACAATGTGAATGACATAACTTTGGAAAGTGCTTTGAAAAGCGTCGATTTAAACCGCACTGCGTATTTTTCTCCAGTTCGCCCTAGTGTTATCTACCATGATGCGGTTGACCATCAAGATAAAGATGAGACCTGCAAGTATTTCAACACATTGTCTTTACCCCTAATGAATAAAGTCGGACTGTTTGTGTCGAAAAGGGCTCTGTTTGTGTACACTCATAAACTGTCTAGTTTGATGGGAGACCGTGATAGGTTTGAACAGTTTTTTCTTCATCTTCACGACATAAAATCAATTATTCATTACCCTCAAACTGAACCTCTGTTCAAGAATCACTCGATTGTGAGTCTTAGATACCTCCTATTCCGTGCGTTGCAATGGAGTTCGGACAAAGATATAATGAATGCCTCGTTTATCCGGCGTTATGCGGCGACTAGCGATGGCTTCATGATTGTTCAACCGGCTGTGAAGTTGGACAAAAATATGGATATAAATCAACTCAACTGGTTTCGAAAAGCGGCCGAGGGTGGACCGTACCAGCATTTCTCGTCGCCGTGGTTGGATTCCTACGAGGCCGGATATGTTGTCTCGGTTTCATGGAAGGTTCCAGTGTCTGATACAGATTTTGTGGTCTTAGGTTTCGATGTGACGGTTGAGAGTCTATACGCGCATACGTTGTATAACACCCAAAAGAATCCTGAAAAGCTGGAATGTAATCCTGAAGCTGGCAAAGATTGTTTCTTGTTTAACGAGGATGGCTACATAGTTGCATACTCGCAAATGTGGAATTCAAGTTTGGACTCAAATGCCAAGCAAGGATTACCAGGCTGGAAATGGAGAGATATCAACATGTTCAGCGTCGCGTACAGGGAATCTGACTTCTTTGAGTTCCTTACCGGGAAATCCGACTTCTACAGCAAGCATGAGTGTTACGATTACAGCCAAGGACATTTCAGATTCTCACAGAAGTTTAATCTTGAGAGTAAAGTCAGCTTCGTTAAGCCTAATAACGCTAACGGGACCATGTTCAGCGTGCGAAGAGTAGAGAACACGAATCTTTTCCTAGGAGTGCGAGGCATTGTTGACCAACGTGACCCTAAAAGTATACTGTTCTGTTTCTGTCCCAGAACTCAAAATGAACGATGTTATGCGAGGCGACCCTTTGATAACAGATGTTGGTGTCCCTGTGTATACCTGGACAACGCCGACGATAACTGCAAAAGTTACGAACCTCATTCGGTTCAAGCGTGGAGTGCATGTGAACCTCAACCAGAAACCCTGAAAATGGGCGAAATCGGAAGTCTTCAAGAGGTAAGAGATTGCATTGGTTTTACATGTTCTGCTCTAACAGAACAAAGCAAGTGTGATCAAAACCGCGAATGTCGTTGGTGCGAGTATGAACAAGTCGTGTTCCGGTCGAACAGCTCACGTACTATTTTCCAAATGGAAAACAATCGATGTGAGCAGTTGGATAACTGTTACATGCGAGTCAGAGGCTTCTCTCCTTATGAGAAAGCTAGGTACTTCAGAGGCAATGATGCGCAGCACTACTCACATCAAGGTGGGGGCTCCTCAACGACCACTCCCATAGGTCCAGTGGCAGGTGGGGTTCTTGCCAGCTCAATTGTGATAGCTCTTGCTGTGTTTCTAATCCGACACGAGAGACAGCGACGTCAAATGATTGCTATGTACAATGCCAACTATACCTCAGATGTTAATGTTCAAATGGCACCCCATGAAATCGATGACTATTCGCTTGAGCAAGAGGAAGATGATATTGGATATATGAACCCGATGCTACATCCGTTGCCCATAATTGCAATTCGAAATGATAGAAGACATCATCACCCTAGAAGCTACGCAACAGACAGTGATCATGGTTATAGTACTATGAGTCCGCATGAAGATAGCGAGCCAAATCCAGGAGCATATTCAGACGCCACTTCAGTTGACAGAAGTGTCATCGAGCATAATTCCCCGACCGACGAAGAATCCGAAAGGTCCTCGACATGCACTGGAGTTTCGGCTTCGACGATCGCGAAAGCGAAGAAGCGAATCCAACAGCAAAGACAGCTTCACGGCACCGGAACTTTAGCGAATTTAGCGAGTAAAAGCAATAATCTATTGACTGAAGCTTCAACCTCAAGTCCAATGAAAAGTGACAAGATGCAAGCTGTGAGCGAGCCTTCAGTCACAGATATCGGCAGTGGATCCGAGATCGAAGCGGAAGTGCACACGGTTCCGACAGCTACAGTGGCGCTTGCTTTTTGCTAATACTATTATCCTCCCCCTCCCGATGATCCGTTCTATTACGTATCTTGAATCAAGAGGCGGCTGCTGCTGAAGTTTTTAAATGCCAATCAGAAACTCGAAAAGAAAAATGCTCATTCATAACTAAGTTATGGCTTTGTAGCAACTTTTTTTTCTATTTTGCTTTCTTGCTCATTTCCTATTTTTATAAATCACATAATATCTATAACTATTTTACTTATTTTGATAATAGTTTTGTCACTTACGTTAAATAACTTAGCAGTTAAACTGACGCAATTGTTTTGATCCATTAATATGTTTGATAGCAGCATGCTTACCAAACAGTTCTCGTAATAAACCAATTTTGAAAAAGCTTTATAAATTCTTCAAAAGTTCGTGTTCATTTTAAATGATATTGTGTAGTTTTACCTGTAATGAGCTATTTGTATATAGAAATACATTAATAGTTCATAAATAATAGTTTATTTACTGATTAAAAAGACACTTTGAAGAAATTTGATCCAATAGTTTTTAATTAGACATCTTCTTCAATAATTCTTTCCAATATTGATGTTCATATGTTTCATTAAATTTCTAATCAAGTTTGTTTAGCATTTCGAATAGTTTCGTTAGTTTACTTGATGTGTTCTAGTTATGGTTATTTTTGAAGTTTCGCCACAGTCCAATCGCACTTTGTATGTCTTTATTAAAAGTCACTTTGACGACGATACATCTCAAACCATAATTTTCCGACAAATGCAACTTGACGCGACAGAATTGGCTCACAGTAAATAGCAAATTATTAAATAAATAAGCATTCCTCCGTTCAAATAGCAAATGGCCATAAATTGTTTGTTTTCTGTCCATCAAACAATTCAAGAATGTGAATGGTTTTGCTTTCTTCAAATTAATTAGCCGAAAATGACGTGACACGTCAAAGTAAATTTGTTGCGTTTAGTCGAAAATTAAAAAAAAACTCGTCTCTCCAGTCTCCAACCCTCGTAATGGTTTAAGCTTTATGATATTTTCAGGTAGTTTCATTAGAAAAGCAACAGATGCTACAAGTATTAAACAATTGAATTGAGTTGTTTTAAAGTAAATTTTAAGTAATTAAACTTATACGTTCAAAATCTCTTTTGACCATTTGAGTAGAGATACGGTTTTGTGATTAGCAATTGATAGTAGATGGCACATAATCTTCCGAAGACCAAATAATATTTCTTAAATTCGAATGTTATTTTCGTTCTTACGAGCCCCAAGGGATGAGAGGGAACTATGGCCTTGGGTACCTAAACTATGGCCTAGGGTACCTGAACAATGGCCTAAGGTGCTTGAACTATGACATACGGAACTTGAACTATGGCCCAGGATACTTGAACTATGGCCTAGGGTATCTGAACCTTGGCCTTGGGTACTTGAACTATGGCTTAGGGTACTTGAACTTTGGCCTTGGGTACCTAAACTATGGCCTAAGGTGCTTGTACTATGACGTACGGAACTTGAACTATGGCCTAGGATACTTGAACTATGGTCTAGGGTACCTGAACCTTGACCTAGGGTACTTGAACTATGGCCTAGGGTACTTAAACTATGGCCTTTGGTACCTAAACTATGGCCTAGGGTACCTTAACTATGGCCTACGGTTTTTGAACTGGTGTACGGTACCTGAAATATGGTCTAGGGTACTTTAACTATGACCTAGGGTGCTTGAACTATGGCCTAGGATACTTGAACAATGGCCTAGGGTACTTGAACTATGGCCTAAGGTACTTGAATTATGACATACGGTACCTGAAATATGGCCTAGGGTATCTGAACTATAAATTAGGATACCTCAATTAAGGCCTAGGGATCTATGAGCTACCTGTAAATCTTGCCTCAAAGATCGCTCTCAGAGCATCTGTTGTGGTATCATACTAACCCCCCGTCATGACTCGTTTCCTAAGAAGGTTTCGTTATTTTGGTCTCGAGAAAAACCTCCTTGAATATTTCCGTTTTTCAGAATGATTTTCAGTAATGCATCATATCACTTCATTCATCAATCTAGTAATTTCTTATCAAGTTTGGTTCTTCAACTTTAATTTCAAATTTGTCAGGTATTTGCCTTGTTTCATTATAAATCTCAATTAAAAACAGACAGCTGCAGGTATGCAGGTAAGTTCAGACAGGTAAAGCGCTCGCTTGAGGAGACAAAGATGCGCAATCGGTGGGACTATTTTGTGCTTTGTATTTTTTAAAAAAAGATTCGATGAACGTAGTAGTTTTTTAGGGAAGAGTTTGATTTTTTTGCGGTTTGACTTCTGATTTTTTGTGAATTTCAGTTCCTGTCTATGTTAAAAGGTGGGCAAACTTCACTAGCAAACAGCAAAAATGAAAAGGTCACGACAAAAGTGATCGACTTCTAGTGTTAATTTTCAGATTTCCTAGCGGAATATAGAATTTATCTATTGATTCAGTTTTCTAAAATTGGCAAATTTTATCAAAAGAGGGTCAATCATAAATTGTTCTAGAAATTCAAAGAGTTTAGGGCCGTTTATTGTTTTCGAATTTCGATTGTTGAGATTTTTTCTCTGTCTGTCTGTTGACTATGTTTCAGGTATTTAAATTTCAGCTTACTAGTCTTCGTCTCAATTCCTGCAGGCTTAGTTTCTGTTCTGTTGTTTTTTCAAGCGATCTATTTAAAACTTTTTTAATCTTAAGTTCAGGTTTTTGTTCCGATCATTGAAAATTGGGAGGAACTTTGTATTCGGGTGTTTTAGTTTTTTTTTGTTTTCCACGCAAAATCAGTTACCACAAATAACGATCGGAATGAGTAGAGTGATATATCATATTAAAGCTCCTACAGTCGTGATTTGAACCCTATTAAGAAATTTCAAAAAAATTTCCCCAGCGTCGAGAAAGATTGATCTGAAATTTTTGATTATTCGTCTTATTTCGAGCAATTGAAGCGAGCGAGTAAATTATTTTAATTGCTTATAAGCTTACAATAGCTTAATTCGAAATCTAAAAATTTAGTTTTACTTGGGTAACGGTAGTTTACTTTGATAATTTTGGCGCTTTTTTGATTCAAAAACCCAAAAAACTGCAAACTTGATAAAAATTTCGAAAATTTTATTTTTCGTTTTTCTAATAATTTTTCTCCAAAAATTGTTCTTCAATCAGCTTTCTTTCAGTATTGGTTTTTCGAATACGAATATTCCGAAGTTTCTGTTCAGCTACTTTTATCACACCACGCCGAAAAAAATGACAGTAATTTGTAAACTTTGTTTTTTTTTAAGACTGGTCGGAACATTCTGTGCTACTTGCACAGTAACCAGATATCCTCCTTAACCATTGCATACAGTCATTGAGTTTTTTGCGAATGACTGTTCGTTTTCGAATGAAGCTCCGCTTAGCTTCTGTAGAGTGATATATCATATTAAAGCTCCTGCAGTCGATAATCAGTTTGAATAAAATTTTTTGTCCTTGTTCTTACCTATGACGCTTACCTATGAAAGAACGCTTACCTATGAGTGATATATCATATTAAAGCTCCTACAGTCGTGATTTGAACCCTATAAAGAAATTTCAAAAAAATTTCCCCAGCGTCGAGCAAGGTTGATCTGAAATTTTTGATTATTCGTCTTATTTCGAGCAATTGAAGCGAGCGAGTAAATTATTTTAATTGCTTATAAGCTTTCAATAGCTTAATTCAAAATCTAAAAGTTTAGTTTTACTTGGGTAACGGTAGTTTACTTTGATAATTTTGGCGCTTTTTTGATTCAAAAACCCAAAAAACTGCAAACTTGATAAAAATTTCGAAAATTTTATTTTTCGTTTTTCTAATAATTTTTCTCCAAAAATTGTTCTTCAATCAGCTTTCTTTTAGTATTGGTTTTTCGAATACGAATAATCCGCAGTTTCTCTTTAGCTACTTTTATCACACCACGCCGAAAAAGATGACAGTAATTTGTAAACTTTGTTTTTTTTTAAGACTGGTCGGAACATTCTGTGCTACTTGCACAGTAACCGGATATCCTCCTTAACCATTGCATACAGTCATTGAGTTTTTTGCGGATGACTGTTCGTTTTCGAATGAAGCTCCGCTTAGCTTCTGTAGAGTGATATAACATATTAAAGCTCCTACAGTCGATAATCAGTTTGAATAAAATTTTTTGTCCTTGTTCTTACCTATGACGCTTACCTATGAAAGAACGCTTACCTATGAGTGATATATCATATTAAAGCTCCTACAGTCGTGATTTGAACCCTATTAAGAAATTTCAAAAAAATTTCCCCAGCGTCGAGAAAGATTGATCTGAAATTTTTGATTATTCGTCTTATTTCGAGCAATTGAAGCGAGCGAGTAAATTATTTTAATTGCTTATAAGCTTACAATAGCTTAATTCAAAATCTAAAAATTTAGTTTTACTTGGGTAACGGTAGTTTGTTTTGATAATTTTGGCGCTTTTTTGATTCAAAAACCCAAAAAACTGCAAACTTGATAAAAATTTCGAAAATTTTATTTTTCGTTTTTCTAATAATTTTTCTCCAAAAATTGTTCTTCAATCAGCTTTCTTTTAGTATTGGTTTTTCGAATACGAATAATCCGCAGTTTCTGTTCAGCTACTTTTATCACACCACGCCGAAAAAAATGACAGTAATTTGTAAACTTTGTTTTTTTTTTAAGACTGGTCGGAACATTCTGTGCTGCTTGCACAGTAACCGGATATCCTCCTTAACCATTGCATACAGTCATTGAGTTTTTTGCGGATGACTGTTCGTTTTCGAATGAAGCTCCGCTTAGCTTCTGTAGAGTGATATATCATATTAAAGCTCCTACAGTCGATAATCAGTTTGAATAAAATTTTTTGTCCCTGTTCTTACCTATGACGCTTACCTATGAAAGAACGCTTACCTATGAGTGATATATCATATTAAAGCTCCTACAGTCGTGATTTGAACCCTATTAAGAAATTTCAAAAAAATTTCCCCAGCGTCGAGCAAGATTGATCTGAAATGTTTGATTATTCGTCTTATTTCGAGCAATTGAAGCGAGCGAGTAAATTATTTTAATTGCTTATAAGCTTACAATAGCTTAATTCAAAATCTAAAAATTTAGTTTTATTTGGGTAACGGTAGTTTACTTTGATAATTTTGGCGCTTTTTTGATTCAAAAACCCAAAAAACTGCAAACTTGATAAAAATTTCGAAAATTTTATTTTTCGTTTTTCTAATAATTTGTCTCCAAAAAATGTTCTTCAATTAGCTTTCTTTTAGTATTGGTTTTTCGAATACGAATAATCCGCAGTTTCTGCTCAGCTACTTTTATCACACCACGCCGAAAAAAATGACAGTAATTTGTAAACTTTGTTTTTTTTAAGACTGGTCGGAACATTCTGTGCTACTTGCACAGTAACCGGATATCCTCCTTAACCATTGCATACAGTCATTGAGTTTTTTGCGGATGACTGTTCGTTTTCGAATGAAGCTCCGCTTAGCTTCTGTAGTAGGCATTTTTGGTATTTTATAGGTCTGACTGTCCTTATACATTGACGCATTAGGACCATGCAATTGTGTATTAGATTTTGTTAAAAATTATTTGTTTAATTTTCGTTTTCCAGTTCATTTTTGAGTTTCGGCTTTAAATCAGGCAGTTATTATGTATATCTTGATTTTTCTGAGTTGTTATACCTCAGGTGTTTATTGTCATTATGAAGGGCTTTTCAGCTAACTCAAGAAAATAAACTGTAATGATGTCTTTAAAATTTTGACAAGTTCAATCTGTATTTATTTTTTCATGTTACTTAGGTTTTAGTGCTTAAGTAAAATAATATTCAAGTGTCTTGTAATCGG